AAGACTGAATGAGTGTCTGTATGCACATACCTAGCGCTGCGATTCCACAATGGGCCAGACCTGTGCTGTGAGAGGCAGTTAGCACCTCCAAGCAATGATGCGTGTCCAAGCTTGTCAAGAACTATCTTACGTATCAGATCAAAATGATGAACAGCATGTTCTGTTGGCAGCTGAGCTTCCTAACATTTTACACATTTTCAGAGTATCTACATTCCCAAAGTAGCCTGTGATGCCCCCGTAAATATGCCAGGGCACTAACAAAATGAGGGTGCTAGGGCCAAAACCAACTAGGGTGGGAAGCTGTGCTATGTTTTCAAAGCCTGTCTCAGCCAGGACCACCTTCCCACCCACTTTTTGGGCAACCCTCGGAGGATGGCAGCTGCTAACTTAGGGGGAAAAAAAGTGCATGGTGGAGGAGGCAAAAGGATTATTTTTAAGAAAGAGCACAATCTAACTTTTCTCCCCACCACCCACTCCACACCACCTCCTCATTCCCTTGTCTCTCCTGCTTGTTCTTTCACTTCACTTTTCTTCTCAGCCTCTCTCTCCCGTTGCTTGGTGCACCATGCTCTCACACACGTTTCCTTCTCTGGGTCCCCAGCTGGGACACCAGCTCTGACGCCACACTGGGAATAGCAGCTGTGCCAGGACTCGGAGCTGCCGCTGGGCTCAGAGGGGGGGATACCACGCTCGCCAGCTTCCTCCTCAGAGCTCCAAATGTGTAAGAATAAAACACGCATTCACTTTTTAGAAATCTTGTCTTGACAACAGAGCCAAGGCAAAAAATAAAAAGCATCTCTGTTATAAACTAAATGAACCTGTTAATTATGCTATCTTCCTAATGTGCCTGAATACTGGAAGATATTTGGTTTACTTCTTCTAAAAAAATGTCCTGTCCTATTCAATTCTATGCCACTTTTTTTTTCCAAGAGATAGGTTTTCACTATGTGACCCAGCTGGAGTAGAGCGGTTATTCACAGGCACAATCATAGCTCACTACAGCCTTGAACCCTGGGCTCCAGTGAACCCTCCTGCCTCAGCCTTCTGAGTCTCTGAGACTACAAGTACTATGGCGCCTGGCTCATGTCACTTGAATGCGGCTTATGAAATGAAGCTGCCCGAGGACTGCGTGGACCTGTGAGCATTCGTAAGATACATGAGGAATACCTGTGCTCCACACATTTCTTCATCACCTGTGGGTAGCAAGAAGCTCCACACTCAGGAGTCATCTACCCAGACCAATAGGCCGCTATGGCACTTGACAAAATAATGAAGCACTTTCCAAAGTGGGATGACTGAAAGACAAGACCAGATACATGTTACGTAGCCAGAGAGAAAGGCAGGGCAGGGAAATATAAATGCACACCACACACACACATATGCAGTGCAAGGGTTAAAGACAAAATCCCTAGGCCGGGTCTTACCTAGAATGTGGAAAATATTTAGACAAGTAAAAGCAATGCTTATGTCTTCTTCCATAGTGATTCATGCATTCAATTACTCTTCAATAAACATGTATTAAGCACATACTAGGTGCCAGGCATTGTTCTAGGTGTCAGAGATAACATAGTAAAAAAGACAAACCTGACCCTTGCTCTCAGGGAGCTTACAATCTAGCATCAGCTCAAGACAAAACTGTAGGCTCACAAAATCACAAGTTGACACATGCATAACGAAGAAAGCAAACAAGGAGTTGAGAAAGAATAACAAAGGGGAGTCTATCAGTGAGGAAAACAGTAAACTTTTAAAGTTGAAACATAAGCCGGGTTCAGTGGCTCAGCCTGTAATCCCCCGCTTTGGGAGACTGAGGTGAGTGGATTGCCTGAGCCCACAGGATCGAGACTCGCCTGGGCAACTTGGCAAGACCTCATCTCTACAATAAATCAAAAAATTAGCCGGGCGTGGTAGCACACATCTGTAGTTCCAGCTACTTGGAAGCCTGAGGCGGAAGGATCGCTGGGAGCCCAGCAGGTCGAGGCTGCGGTGGCCGGGAGCGGCCACTACACTCCAGTCTGGGCAACAGAGTGAGACTCCAACTCAAAAAAAAAAAAAAAAGCTGAAACATAAAGAGAGAAAAACTAACCAGGACAAGAATGAGTTGACCATTCCAGGAAAACAAGCTCACATGTACAGAGACCCTGAGGCATAAAAGTTTTGGGCACCAAGGAACTACAGCATCAGTGGGACGTGACTGTAGTAAAGTGAGCAAGGAGAGAATGGCACAACGTAGGACTAGAGAGACACCGTGGGCCGTGATGCCCAAGTAAGATGTTATTCTAAGGTTAACGGGAAATTTTCAGCAGAGGAAGAATGTGACTCAGTTTACCCTTAAGGATGATCGACATTGCTTCTGTATGGAGAAAGACTTGAAAAGTATAGGCTATTGCAGTTGTCTAAGCAAGAGATGGTGATTTCCTAAACCAAAATATAACAGCAAAACGGAAAAAGAGCAGACAGATTCAAACATACTTTAAAGACCAAACCAATAAAAGTTACTGAAGAATTGCATAGGGGGGTGAGAGCAAAGAATCAAAGCTGACTCTCAAGTTATTACTTGTATGTGGATTGTCTGGTTTTTGTTTTTTTCCAGAAGTTATAAGTATCGTACAATGCACTGCCAGGCACATGTGGGAATCTCACCTATGGACATGACATGTCCATGGATATAAGTAACTCAAATACCCTAGATCAAAGAATAATAGAAACTGTATGTGGCTGTACTTAAGAGGCAGTAGTGGCATACTAGGCAAGTATTTCATTAAGTGGGTTTTCTCATAAGAATTTTAGTGTCACGTTGGCACCAGAGCCTTGCAGCCACCCCAATATCACAGTGTTAAATATCTTTCTAAATGTAGGTGCAATAAACTCTGACTTTTAAACAGAACCATATCAGATAATCAACTACAAATCCATCATAAGCAACAGAGAAAATATGGTCATTTCTAAGAGGACCTTCAAGTCAAATTGGATGACTCATATCAAACATGTCAAAGGCACATTACCGCATAACCAGCAGAAAAACACAAACCATAAAATACAAATGCACAATAATTTCCTTATGATCACTGAATAATTGGGTCCCCAGTAACTGTCTCTCCACAAGATCCCTTCAGAAACTCAGTACACAACACAATACAGGATTCCCCCAGGAAGAAGCCTTTGCGGTTAAAGAGAATGAATTGCCTTTTTTATTTTACACGCTGTGTTCAAACTGGTCCCCAGATGCCACCACAAGCAACAGTATTCTGTGATTGAGTCCCATGCAGTCTCAGCATCTTCTTCCTGATCTGTTCATTCCCTACTACCCGGAACTGTTTCCATTGCTCTTCCTCAAGACTGTCACACAATGCTCATCTCAAAGGTCCACTTGTCTAGGTAAGCGCCTCTTTACTTTTTAATACTTATAGTGATGATGCACTCTTGTTCTTAAGCTGAACAAAAGACAAATTATAAGAAGGTAAGAGGGAGGGAGAGCTCACAGGCACACTGGAGAGAGAACCTCTTTGGTTTCTTATACTGGTTCAGGCCTTGCCAAGACAGATAGTAAATCAAGATAAACAGTAGCAATTTATTTGGAAAGGAATGTTATCTTTTGTTCCTCCAAACTATTAACAGTGACCTTTTTTTCATGTGCATTTCAAGGACTTCGCTTGAAACAGATTCCATATTACTTTAGTCGAAATAGGAAAGATTTCTTTCATTTCAATGAAAAGCATGTTAACTTTAGTCTCCTGCCCTCCGGTCCTTCTAGGTCCTACATTTATTCCAACACTTTCTAATTTTAATGGCATGGCCCACCTCCAGCTCTCCTCCGCTCTTGTCTTTAATTCGGTGGTCCATCTGCAGTGCTCCTCTCAGCACGGTACTTCTCTGGCTTCCTAAGCCACCTGCTCAGCTCCAAGGGTGAGACCAGAAAAAAATCTACAGCGCTATGCCTCACACCCTCTTTAATTTAACTCTGTAAATTCACTTTTCAACACCCCTGAGCTGCTCATTCTAATTTGGCCTGTCATCACCTGCGGTGACTGAACGCGATCTTTATCTCTGCCACCCATAATGCATTTTATTGCAGGGTCCGTATTTCTGCAACTGCAGCAAAGACATGAAGAATGTACACAGCTCTGCCAACATGAAAGGCTGTTGCGTGTAACTCCTCTTGGGGAATCTCCCAAAACTGGCATGTGTTTCCACTGCACATATTCGTTCCCATTTCAGCATGAGGCTACCCATGTAGTCAAATTTTCTCCACGTTAGAAGAAACACAAGGCAACATAAATACATACCTCAACACACAGTCCACCCTAGCACTTGAATACAAGGGTGTTCTTTGACCTCCTGCTAGCTAGTCAGCTCCTAATAACACTTCTATCCAATATATGGCATCTAATAGGTTCAGTGTTTCAAAAAGTGTGTCACTCTACAGTCATCTGTCTTAACAGGATGCATTTTCATGATTCCTGTTTAAATCATTGACCTGGCCCACAAACTGGTTAAATGTCACCTATATAACTCTGAAATTTGGAAAGATACATAAATATAATACTCTCATCTTGTTCTACTGTCTCAATAGATCCTATTTCTAAACAAAAACAATCTAGAAAGTTCTTCAAGAGTTTTCCAGTGACTGCTGATTATGGTAGTTAAATACCTTCTGTAGCACTCTGTCCTATTTCACATGTTAAAAAGTAGAATACTGGACCAAGCACGGTGGCTCACACCTGTACAGCAGTTTGGGAGACTGAAGTGAGAGGATCGCTTGATCCCAGGAGTTTGAGACCAGCCTGGGCAACATATTGAGACTTTGTCTCCCACCCCAAAAAACAAATAAAAATTTTAAAAAGTAGAAATACACAACTATGCCTAGGCTTTGTGAGATCAGATCCACTCAGAATCTCACCAGACAACCTCCTAGATCAGCCTGCCGGTATAAGCAAAGCATCTTCACAGTCGTCATCCTATAGAGCTGGCCATCTCAGTATTCCTGCATCCCTCCCCCTTAGTCACAAGATTCTAAAAGTCTCCTTCCCAAAGACGTGGGAGGGAGACAGTGAGAGGCCCCAATGCACAGAGTACTCACTGAGAGGCTTTAGGATGCTGCTGCTGGATTCGTCAGCGTTCTCCACATCTGATTTGTCAGAGTAGTTCTCAGAGATTCTCTCCTTCTCCTTCTTCTCCTTGTGCCCTGTCTTTCTCTTGTGACGTCTCCTTCTCCTGTAACTCTTCGGCACATGAACCCCGATGTAGATGGTGTGGTGGCCTAGAGAAGGGGCACACATCACTGGTCAGTTCAAATCACATTCCCCAATGCACACATACCGCACAAAACGCATGGGCCAGAAGAGAATGCCTAAGAATTCAACATTATCATGCTACAGTCCACAGACTCACATTGGAAAATAAAATCTTCTCCCAGTTTACAGTTAGCTTCAGATAATTCAACCTGTTGGTTGGCACCAAGATTCTGTGAGGGTGTCCTCTAATCCTGTCCACACAGACTGATTTTGTTTAAGAAAGTCAAAGAACATCGAACTGGGAATTGAGAATCCTTGATTCTGGTCACACCTCTGCCATCAGTTAGCTATATAACCTTCAGCATGTCACTTGGGGCCTCGGCCTCATCCTTGATACAATGAGAGACTCGAATCGGGTAATTCCTGGGAGGCCATTCCAGTCCCAACCTTCCATGAGTCTATGACGGCACTAAAAGGGATACCTGCCGGAAAAGGAGCTTGAGAGCTGCAAAAATAAAGATTTAACTCAGAGTTCAAACAGTCATCTTGCTGGGGATAAGGTTTTACATTAAAACTTTTTTAACCTAATCAGCAGAATAGAGACTAAGAACTGGGACAAACTGAGAAAAATAAGGCACACTCGGAAAAAAGATTTTAGAAATACTCAAATGTTCGCACTAGGAAACAGTAAAATGAATGTCAGCCTCAGAGTCATTCTCATTTTTCTTTTTTCGTTTCCAAAAGTTTCTAAAAACTGGTTGTTGCAATGATAAAAATAAACCCAGTCCAGCAAAAATTGCCTTGAAGAGAAGGGCATGAGGAAAAAAGATTGTGAAATGCTTTCAGTTCTCTAGATGGAAGGAGCTGCAAAACTGACAAGTGGTATTATTTTTACAAAATCTAATAAGACAAATAAAAAGGAAGAACTCAAAGTTCCACATCATTTTTTTAAATTGGGAAACTTTTACTTCCACTTTAAATACAGCATCACTTCTGAATTTTGGAATTACCCTTTCAGAAAGAATGTGAACACTTTTTTTTATTGCAAATTAGATTAGATTATCTCATCTATGGGGTTGACTTCCCATTTCTGGAATTATTCCTTGATGACAATTTTACAGTGCCATAGACACTATCACGTTCCTCCATGCAAATACACGTGCATACAGTAAGTCTGCTACAAACTGCCATGAACTACCATCCACAGTTTCCACAGTAACTCATCAGGCATATCTAAAAACACCATAATTCACAGGGGTGTTTCCTTAAACTGGCAGGCTTCAAAGAATGATGTGTTCCTCCAAGAAACAGACTGCAACTAAAAGAAATGCAGAGCCTAAGTGAATGGGTTAGCATTCAAAAGAAAATACCTGATGCTTGAATGAAGTCGGAGGCATCTTTACACAAAGCAGAACCCCCCCTTCCCAACACACACACACACACACACACACACACACACACACACACACACACACACACAGCAATTCAGCTACTACAAAGCACAGTGAAATTCTCCTTCCAGAATGCGTGCCAATGGAAATTTATCATGTCTAACCATTTGCAAGCAAATCGTTCTCATGGGAAAGCTATATTATACTAGGTAGTAGGAAATGTCTCAGAAACAATGTGAATTAAGAAACAGTGTCAATTATTTCCTGTGCTCCAGTTACCGAGGGAGTCCTGTAGCTTTATCTCAAGTCTCAACAATAGAAGTAAGCAAAGCTAACCCTGCCTCCAGTAAATCAAACGCTGAAAGCTCTGTTGCCTTCGTTCAGGAAAACGCACACACACACACACACACACACGAAAGAGGTTGGAAAAATTCTGCCACATTAAATATTTTCTTTACCTTATTGATTAATAGCAATTAAGCAAAATGGTAATTAAGTTACCTTAGGTAGACTGATGTAATGCAGAAAGATTTTTAATATGTTCACCAGATCTGCATAGTACGTTTAATCAAACCATTTAATAGACAGTCTCTATGAGTGGATGGCAGGTTAAGGTCAGATTTTTGGCTATGGAGTGTTGTTGTCAATCTTATAAAAAGAGTCAGGGCAATTCCGAGAATGAGACTTCAAGCCTTGGAGAGGAATATGCTTGACTTTTTGGAGACTGGCTTGAGTTATCGTCACAAAAGTGGTGCCATTTTGTTCACACCATGATCACAGGCATCCTCCCTGCAGCAAATCCAGCTTGCCCAGTCTCCTCCAGTCCCTCCTATGCTTTCACCTTCATTTCCACATAGGTCATACATAGTACGATGGAGTGCCACGGTACCCAGACGCCAAGAAGAAATGTGATTCCTCTGAAGACATCCCAAATTTCAAGCATTTTAAAATCAGCTTTATTGAGGTATAATTTACAGACCATAAAAGTCACTCCTTTTAAGGAGACAAGGCAATTATTTTAGCATATTTACAGAGTCATAATTCAATTTTATTGCATGTATGCAGTCATTCTCTGTTCCCACCCCTGTCTCATACAACCATTCTTAGGCATACTCTTAGCTATGGCCTCTGGGAAACTACCATTCTCTGATACTTACAAGGCTATGACCTTGTTGCAGGGATGCTGACAGCACAGCAAAAGAAAATATTCCCCGAATGAGGAAGAAATTGCCTTCCAAGAACTACCAGAGGAAATCAAGGCACTGAGCTGAGTAATCCAAAACTCAAAGCATTTGCCTTCTCAACTTGTACACATTACTAAGTAACTAAATTTCCCTTTTCTCTTTTTTCAGGTGGAGTACAAAGAACACAGTTTCAGGCCTAAGCAAACCTTTAGGAGCTCAGTGACAGTGCTCACTGCTTCATCAGTGATTTCTCAGCCTCGTTCACTCTGGCTTCTTTGTTTGTGAGAGGAAAGGAAGATAGCCTTGCTTTGATGGGTGGGACAAGGCAGGCATGTTTTCTCAAAGTGATGACCAAATATTTAATAGGCTATATGTGCCAAATAACAAAAACACCAAAAGTTAAATGAGCTGCAATGGAAGCCTTCTTACTGCCCCCACAGAACCCCTGCCTATATGATCAACAGAAGCAGCTTACTGCTGAAAATATGCTATTGGTGACAGAATGTCACAGGTAGATCACAGTTTTCATTTTCATTAAGATATCTTTACCTGCCACAGAGATATGTCGTGAAGATTGTTAACTATTTTTCAAATTATAACTCATGGCTGGACATGGTAGCTCACACCTATAATCCTAGCACTTTGTGAGACTGAGGCAAGAGGAATACATGAGCCCAGGAATTTGAGACCAGTCTGAGCAACACAGCAAGACCTCATCTTTACAAAAATTCAAAAATTAAGTCGGGAGTGGTGGTGCGCGCCAGCTACTCAGGAGGCTGAGGCGGAAGGATCTCCTGAGCCCAAGAGATTAAGGCTGCGGTGAGCCATGATCATGCCACTGCACTCCAACCTGGGTGACTGAGTGAGACTGTGAGACACTGACTAAAAAAAAACTTATAATTCACAAAATGACTGCAAGCTTTTAGAGAAGCCACAAATATTGAGGGTGTAGTATTGTTTTACATGTAAAATTAAAAGGAGCAACTTGACAGACAAGCTTTCTAACTCAGTAAAAGCCACAAAACAGAAAGAAGCTCAAAGAATCGGGGACAGTTACCTGCTTCTTAAAGATAATTTTTAGGATAAAAATAATTACCTCCTAAAAAATTCAGGAAAAACTGCTTCCAAATATAATGTGAAAAGGTGTAAAATTTTTTTAATGGCCAGAAAAAAGGAAGAAGTGATCATTTTAAATGTTATTAAAATAAAAATTACATTCTTGCAACTGAATACACTGTAAAGTAAGATTACTAGAATCTATACTTGACAGTGTTCATTTAGGTGTACAGTCAAAGTGTATTCAGTCCTTGGTTTGGCATTGGCTTCAGTATCATGTGTTCAAATAAATACCCTGCATGCCTTTCTCTGACAGATGGTGCAAGTTCCCAACAAACTCTAAATATCTTGGGAATAGCTCACCATCCACACCACAGCCAGTACTACCGGGAAGAAAACATGACTTTCCTGGGTATCTCTGGATGTCAGAAATAATCATGACAGATTCTTGTTTCTTCCCATCTTCCCCTGCTCCACCCTAGTTGCAAGTTGGAAGCCCAGTGAAGCTATCACATCCAACCCTCCCAATTCCTGAGATATTTCTAAACTAACTTCATATTGATAGTTGCTATAATGTTTTCTGGCAAACAAAGAACTCTTGCATTTAGTAACTCTGGAGCCATTTAAGTTAAGGTGGGCTTTAACAGAAACACACTTTGCTACCAAGGATGATTTATAGCACTTTGAAGTATAAATCTCACAAGCCAGAAAAGGGTTTTACACCAGCCAAACTATACAATTCTATAGATGAATGGATGGTTATCATCATATGCCTCTGTATGTAAGATATATCTATTAGCTCCTTCCTAGGAAACATGCTGCTGTGTTTACTATACATACAGATGATAGCAACCACTTGGAGGATGCTTACAAGCATGCCAGGCACTGCCAGGTGTTTTGTATCCATCATCTCATGCAGTCCTGCTACTATCCCCATTCTACAGGCATAGAAACTAAGGTTCGAAGAAGCCAAGGACATTGCCATCAGTTAACTCAGTATTCTCTTCATAAAATACCACAGGAGAAATATGTCTCAGTTCTCAATATCGAGAATAGGTTAATGCCACATCACCACTTTTTTGCACTTTTTAACACGAATGGGGACCAAAATATACTGGAATGTATTTATTTTAAAAACTGTGTATTATTCTTACTTGTCTAAACTTCAGCCTTCAAAGTACTCTTCCTTTGATGCAATACACCTATTGAGATGCTTTTTTCCACTGCTCAAAACAGTTTCTGAGCTTGTAATTTTTGGTGCCTTTTAGTACTTCTGACATTTTTTGTTTCATCTTTTCAACATCTGCAAAATGTTTCCCCTTGAGGACTTTTTTCATCCGGGGAAACAAAAAAAAAGCCACTCAGGCGAGATCAGGTGAATAGGGAGGATAAGGC